CATAAAGATTACAGCCTTAGAAACCCTATGGGGCAGTTCTACTCTGTCCTATAGGGTTGCTATGAGTTGGAATCAACTTGATGGCAACAGCTTTGTTTTTTTTTTTTTGGTTTTGTATTATTTGGACGCTTATTTTATCCTTTCTTCTCAGAGCATAAACTCCCTGAAAGAGTTTATATACCAGTTTTTTGTTAAGCTTTCCACTTAGAGCATAATGCTTCGCACATAATAATACATATTTACTGGATTGACACTGAGACATCTCCTGTAAAATTATTACATAATTATTATATAATTTCATGTTACATAATTATATCTGAAATGTTATGTAGTCCCATCTGACATGTTACAAATTTTAATAATTATAAACTCATGAAGGCACTGTCCGAAAACATCCCATTAGCTAATCTTGCAATGACTCTTGTCCTTAAAAAAATAAGACCTGATTTAACCTCCTCCTACCACTGCCATGTCCTGGGTAGACAGGATGGTTTGTGTTTTATTCTGTCCAGGTTTTTTTTTGTGTTAAGGCTATGCTCTAATTCTTTAAACTGAGTCATTTAGAATTATTGTCCAAATAAGGAGGCATTTTTCTTGGACTCAGTTTTTTTCATGGCAAAAGGAAACTGAGACATAAATGTCATTACAACAATGAGAAAATACAGCTCATACATGGAATAGGGAATGCATTCATTCTCACAAATCACAGGTCAGATGGCTGCCTCCCATTTCTGAGAAGGCAGTGTTGTTAAGTGCCATTGAGTTGGTTCCAAGTCATAGCAACCCTATGTATATGTATAACACAACAAAACGTTGCCCAATCCTGCACCATCCTCACAATCATTGCTATTTGAGCCCATTGTTGCAGCCACTGTGTCAATCCATCTCGTTGAGGGTCTCCCTAATTTTCGGTGACCCTCTACCAAGCATGATCTCCTTCTCCAGGGAAGAAGGCAGTGGCGGCTGTGAATTCACTCGTTGAAATTATTCCAAGTGTTACTCCTCCCACCCAAGACTTCCAGAGCAATGATGTTATCTGGCCTTTGAGCCAACAGCCCTGTGGAAGCAGCACAGTCACCACTGAATCATGGATGCCATATTCTGTTTTAAAAAGCAGTACTCAACTTGGTATGATACTGAACAGTGCAACTAGGAAAGCTGTGCTATGCTGACAGTCATTCTGACTTCTCCCTCCCCTATCTTTCCCCTTAATTATAAACATTGTGTTTTTATTTTTAATGCTATTTAGGACTTTCATAATCCATAGCATTCTGACTACAGACGTGACTGGATTGTGGCTCTCTGCCCCATCTTAATAACAGGCAGGTCCAGTGGTGAGTGGCAGAGCCCTCCTTAGAAGCACATCTGGATGAAGAAGAAGCTTTAATTTCATCTGCATTGTAAAGGGCAGCTTTTGTCAGTAAAGAAATGTCCTGGTGGAGTGGAACTGTGAAAACACCGAAAGTGAGTTCAGGTACCAAAAGTCCTGAGTCCCCACGTGCCCTTGCTCATGCCCCCTTTTGGGTTTGGGGCTGTGTGAGTTGCAGATTCCATTTTCTTCATCTGCTCACTCAAGAAATATTTATTGAAGGCCTGCTATGAGCAAGGGATACGTAGAAAGCAAAACACATGCTTAAATGCTAACATTGGAACATGTAGGTGAGGAAGGGTACCCCAAGGAGGTCTGCGTGTGGCCAAAAATAAAAAAGAATTCAGGCGTCCTATGCTTCCTGGTCACACTCTCCCAAACACTTCTTGCCAACTCCTTGCTCTCACTGGGCTGCACTCTCTGCTTTTCCTTTACTGCCTCCTCTTCCTCTCCTTGCTCCCGGATGTGGATACAACCCGTTACCCATCGCCATGGAGTC